AAGGTCAGGCAGGCTGACTGCCCATGGTGAAAGATTTCAGTTGCTCCTTTCCCTGAATGCAACCCTCCATGTGTGCAGGTGTTACTTGGCCTTGTGTTCTATTGCCCTTGTGGGAACTGGGGCTTGACGAGCCAGTGCTAATCCTGACATTCTCCCTGCTTCTGTTGCTGAGGAACAAAGTTCTCCATCTGCAACCAGGAGTCAGGTCTTCTGCCAGCATCCGTTAAAATGCAGTAGGCTAACCTGTCAGCTTGGATGTGTGGTAACATCACAGGCCCTTCACAGTTCTCGAAGCTACTTGCATCAGAATCTCAGGTGGGAGATGGAGGGAATTTGTGTTTTTAACAATTTATTATGATAGTCAGCCGACTCAGCCTTGGAGGGATCTTGCTCTAGAGTGAAGCCCTGGGAGAGCTGGTTCTCCTACGAAGCTGGCACTTTCCTCCTCAGGGAGGCTGCATTTCCCTTTTTGTTCCAGCTGCCAGGAAGCTCACAGTCAAATCTCCCTGTGCTTCTGCCTTAGCGTCCACATTAGCCTCAAACTTCTGTCACTTGTATGTTCCTGCTTCTGCTTTCTGAAAAATCAATATGTAATTCACCTACCATAAAATTTACACTTTCAAAATGTACAATTCAGTGGCTTTTAGTATATTCGCAAGATTGTGCAACCATCCCCACTATCTAATTTCAGACTGTTTTCCTTAGCACAAAAGAAACCCTGTACCTGTTAGCACTTCTCATTTCTATCTCCCTCCATCCTATGGAAATTACTTACCTACTTTCGGTGTTTACGGATTTGCCGATTCTGGAGACTTCATGTAAAGGGAATCATATACGTGCCATTTTGTTTCTGGCTTATTTCATTTAGCATAATGTCTTCAAGATTCATACATGTTGTAGCATGGATCAGAATTTCATTTTTACAGGTGAATAATATTCCATCAGAGGGATATACCATGTTTTGTTTACCCATTCATCAGTTGATGAACATTTGGGTTGTTTCCGCTTTTTGGCTATTATGGATAACACAGCTATGAGCATTTGTACATAAGTTTTTGCATGGATACGTGTTTCCAATTTTCTTGGGTATATACCCAAGAGAGGAATTGCTGGATCCTATAATAACTCTACATTTAAGTTTTTGAGAAATTGCCAAACTGTTTTCCAAAGTGGCTGTACCTTTTCACGTTCCCAGCAGCAATGTATGAGGGTTCGAATTTCCCTACATCCTCCCCCACGCTTGCTACTGTCTTTTCCATTATAGCCACCCAAATGGGTGTAAGGTGGTATTATATTGTGATTTCGATTTATATTTTCCTGATTACTCCTTTTTTTGTTGTCATTCACATTTTACCATTTTATTTTATGTATTTCTGATCTGAGGCCTGACATCTTTTATGGAACGAGTACCCCATGGAGTAGGAGAGTCATGGGTCTCTGGACTAGACTTTCCCAGGACTCTCCCTCTGCTTCTATTAGCTGTATGACCTTGAATGAGTTATACAACACTCTGAGCCTCAGGTTCCCCACTTATTAAACAGGTTGCAGTATTTGACTTTCATGGTTGTTGTTGTTACTGTAAAGATATGTCTATGATACAGCTGTGACGTAGGACTGGTACAAAGTAAGTCCTCAGTGAATCTCACTAAGCCTGGGACTCTGACAGGAAGGTTTCCAGTTTGGTCAGGAAACCCAGGATGGGGGCTGTTGGATTTTAACCTAGTATCTGCTTTATTCTAGCAACTTTTTACAACAGAGGTATTTCAGGCTGCCTCACACATCAGTCTCTCCAAGTCTCTGTTCCCCCTTTGTGACATGAGAAATGAAACTGTGCCCCGTGATGTCAAAGTCGGCGAATCTGTAGGGTTCATCCTAACATCTTATAAGTTTTGTCTCTCGCTTCAACCATCAGACTAGCTGCTGCCTAAAGGACTACCTCCTCCCTCAGATGAAGGGCTCTCCACGGTGAGGAAGGAAGTGAATTAAAACTTCCAAAGAACCTACAGTAATGCTATGTGCCTGATCTTATTTACCACTCTGTGAATTGGTCAGGTATGCTCTATCATCCCATTTTGCAGGTGGGGAAACTGAAATTTCAAGAAGCTAGATAACTTGTCTGAGATCACACAGACAGCAAATGCTAGTGCCTAGATTCAAAAACCCAGCTCAGATTTCAACATCTGATTTCTTTTCTTCATTCAGAGTGTTCCCCCCACCTCTGTCCCTTAATAGGAGGTGCTCAGGAAACTTTGCTGACCTGAATGGCTAGTTCTCAACCCCCTGGCTGGCCAGAGACAATGTCATGCCTTTGAGCTGAGATCTGTCTCCTAGACACCACAGGTCAGCTCACCCCTGGGGCCACAGAACAGCCCTCGCTCTGTCCCAGGCCCCCCAGACAAGTGCTGCACTGGGAGTCAGGATGCCAGGCTTCTGTCCCCACTACTACAGACTTAAGCCACCCAGGCCTCAGCACTCTTCCCAAGTTGGCTAAGTGGAAAGTTGTATCTACTCACTCCTGGGTCCCAGGCGTCCAGCACAGGGTTGGGCACAGATGCCACAGACCTAGCCTAGGCCATCTCCACAGACCCATAGCTGCATCTTGCACGGGCCTGCCCTCCCATGGGAGTTGTTAGTGACAAGGCCAGCCCTAGGGCAGGGGGAACAGGAGGATAACTCCATTTGCCCAGGCTGGGGCTCTGGCCTTCCCCAGGCATGCCAACAGTCAGAGAGGAAGAGTTTGAGCTGGGCCAGCAGTACCCACCCCAGACTGAAATAGAAATCCATTTCAGAGAGAAATGGGGAAATGGGCCCAGGACCACAGGGGTGGGGTGGAGTGTCACTGGGGAGAACCCTGAAGACACAGCTTCCTGAGAGTCTTGTCTTGGCCTCTGCTACAGCAAGCGCCAGTCGCCAGACTCTGCCAACTCATCCCTCCTCCGGGGAGGACAAACTCGAATCCCAGGTCCCACACTCTTAACTTCTCTGAACCACAGCCTCCTCAACTGCAAAACTGGGATAACAAGAAGCTTGGCTGCATTCGTCAGCTCAATCCAAGTGCTTTGGAGCACTCGGCACATAGTAGGTGCTCAATAAATGGCAGCCATTGCTAACCTCACTTCACCTGCTCTTTCAGCTCCATACTGACCGAGTGATTCATTCATTTGTTCTTTCCTTCACTTATTCATCCAGCCAACCAACCAGCGCATGCCCCCTAAGTGAGTCTCAACAGTTAAGAATAAAGTCTCCTGGGGCGCCTGGGTGGCTCAGTCATTAAGTGGCTGCCTTCAGCTCAGGTCATGATCCCGGGGTCCTGGGATCGAGGCCCGCATCGGGCTCCCTGCTCCACGGGAAGCCTGCTTCTCCCTCTCCCACTCCTCCTGCTTGTGTTCCCTCTCTCTCTCTGTCTCTCTCTGTCAAATAAATAAATAAAAACTTAAAAAAAAAAAAAAGAATAAAGTCTCCAGAGTTGAGTCGGGGTTAAAACTCCCGAAATGCCACTAGTTGGCTGGGTGACTCTGGGAAAGTCACTTCCCCTCACTAAGGCTTCACTTCCTACTTGTAAGACGGGAACCGTAAGAGCACCTCTGGAGGGGGCTGGACGGTGTCTAGAGCCAACAGGATAACGATGTGACAGCAGCGAGCACAGGGTCTCGGAAGGGAGAGTGGGTGGCAGGTGAGCCACACAGAGGAGCCAGGCAAGGCGCCAGCCCCGCAGACCAGGCCCTGCTGGGAGCACCAGGCAGCGGGGCCTCCGGGGACAGCCACGGGACGAGGCGAGGGCGGGCGGGAGGCAAGAAGAGTCAGCAGGCTCAGAGACAATTGCTAGGTTCCTGGACCATGGCCGGCTCCCTTTCTGGTAAACTAAGAAACAGTGAGGAAACACACACACACAAAGGATCGTAAGAAGGGTAAAGGAGAAAAACCCTAACCAAACAGGGAGCCTCGGGCAGCGTGCAGTTACCCCACCCCGCCAGGCCAGAGGAACACAGCCATGTACACACATTGCGCATGCATGCACACACTCACAAGCTGCACATTCTCACTTGTGCTTACACACCCAAGGGCTTGCCCACACAGGCACATGCACATGCACCCTCAGAGGCACAGCACTTTACAGTTTGCAAAGAGCCTTCTCGCTTATCATCTCATTTGATACAGAGGGGCGGAGAGGTTGTCCCTGAATTGGCTTGGGGCCCTTTCCGGAGCAGACAAGATATGTGAATCCCAGACACATCCAGGGCCCATCTCACGGCCGTGCTGCCTCCGTTCCCACCCCCCAACCCCTGACCCCGGAGGTGTTAGCAGGAGATGAACGGCACCAGAAACCCCAGGAAAGTTTTAACGCAGCTTCCTTCCACAGATTTCTTCATTCACCCCACTTCACTCTCCTTCAGCAAGTCACACTTGGACTCAAGAACTCACTTTCCCACCAGTCACGTGGGGTCAGCTCTAGGCTGTCTTGCGATTTAGCCGGGATGGCAGAGGCAAGAGTTTCCCAAGGGACTTCTCTGTGGACTCCCGTCCGGTCACCTCACTCTTCTTAGCCTCTCCCACCATAGGCTCCCAGAGGGCTCTGAGGGCAGAGCCCAGCCTCCTCCCTGGCGGACCCTCACTAGCATACAATACCTACCAGTTTTCAAATACTCAGGGGGTGTCATTGTTATCCCCATTTTATAGAGTGAGAATTGAGGCCTAGAGAGGGAATGTGTCCCGTGCCACTCGAGACTCAAACCCAGACCAACACGGCTCCCAATTCTGTTTCCGCTCTTCCACCCTCCACAGAGGCCCCACCCAGTCCCCGAGTGTTCACCTCCTCTGTCCTGTGCAGCCTGAGGCTCCAGGCACAACCAGGACACGGGAGAGAGGAGGACCCCCAACACTTCTCCCACCCCCACTCCAGCCTGTGATGAGCCACAGTGGCTGCAAGGGGGACTGCGTGTGAAGCTTTGAGAGGAGGTTGGGGCTCAGGCACACTCAGGGCACTGATCCAGAACACTCACCCAGGAGTTAGTGAGCTCCACGTTGGTCCATGAAGTGTTGGAGCAAATTCTGACTCCCAGAGCAACCCCTAGAGCTAGCCAGTTCCTGTGCCACAAACTGTCACGTGCATGTTTCACAGAAGTCCCCGGAGGTAGCAAGAAACCAAGAAATCAAGCAGGGGAAGTAGCTTGCCGCAGCACAAAGCTGGCAAGAGGCAGGGCTCTTCTCAAGAACATTGCAGCTCATTCAGCCACTACCCAGTTGTGAGCGGTCCCTTCATCGTCCGGGTGTGCTTCCCTGCAGAGTGCTGTCGGGACAAGAGTCTGAGATGGCATTTCAGGACCGGGACTTGGCACATGGAGGCACTCGTCAGTAACCATTTTTCTCCCCCTCCTCTCCACCCTGCCCCTCAGCCGTTTCCTGGCCTTTCTCAGAAAGGTCTGGAGAGAGTCCTGGCCCTGTTTCTTGCTGCCACCGGGAACAACTGATCTGGTTTTCTTCACAGTGCCTGGAAGATCCATTAAGAGAGGCTGAGACCCTGAGGTTAACAGCTCTGCCAGATACCACCGGCCCCCCTAAGGGCCGAGGATGGCTCCTCAGATTGAGGGTGATCTGGGGGGAAACAGCGGAGCCTGGGCCACCACCCTCTTCAACGGCTCGAATCCACCTTTAAGCTCGGGCTTGAGGAGAGGGCAGACAGGGTGGCTCTGCCTCGGGGCCAGTGGTGGCCTGGGACAGCCCCTCCCCTGCCAGAAGATCTGTCCTCCTCTTTTTGTTTGTTTTTTGTTTGTTTGTTTTGTTTTTACAAGTACTTATCGGGCACCTATTCTGTGCAGGTAATGTCCAAGGCACTTGAGAACACAGAACAAAGCCTGTGCCCTCGTATCACTGACATTCTACCAGGGAGACTAGTATATTTTAGCTAATGAGTTTAATAAATACAGAGCAGGTCAGGTAGAGGAACTACGGAGGAACGTAAGGAAGGGTAAGGGGCAGCGCGCCAGGAGGTTGCAATCTCAGCCAAGCTGGACAGGCACCATCTGGAGCTGCTGGATCCTCTTCTTACACCACCCCCTGCCCAGCCCAGAGGAGACCCCAAGCCCCGAGTCCGCATTCTGTGCCAGGCCCTGCCTCAGGGGATCTCAGAAGCGGGCCAGGGTTCCAGGGCACAGGCCTTAGCTCAGGCCCACCAGGGCTCTGGCATGGAGCATCCCGAGCCTGCCTTCCACTCATGGCCTCGGAGAAGCCTTCTGAAGGCTCCAAATTCTCCAGTCAACTCCAGGATCCCATTGCTGAGAGAGCACGAGGCCCAGAGACAGGTAGGAGCCGGCCTGGATCACACAACAAGCCGAAGGTGTCCTTGTTCCCTCTCCCGCCTTCTCCTCCGGCATGTCCGCAAGGGTGGACTCAGGGCTGAGCTTCACGGCAGAGTGCTGGCCTATGCGGGCTGTCTATGCCCTCAGCCAACTCCTGGTTACAGGACTGTAAGGTGCTCCGCCATTGGGCCCGGCTGGTAGTCACAGCCTGCCCCATCCTCCCAGGGTGGACAGGCCAAAATCTCGTTCTCTAAGCCCTGGGAGGCTGAGACCACTTCTCCCCAGCTCAAGCTCAGGGACACTAGTGTTTTGGTTAACTCTGCCTCATCCTGCTGTGTGACTTCAGGCAGGTCCCATCTCTTTGTGGGCCTCGGTTTCTTAATCTGTCCAACGGAAGACATGCAGACACCTGTATCTCAGGGCTGTCATAAAGAATGAGCAAGAACACTGGCAAGAGGGCAGTTTGTAAACTTCTAGGTGCTACTTATGTGACAGGGGATATTCTATCCTTAACATCCCTGCTTGTCTGAAAAACAGCCTCCTCATGCTTGTGGGACCCTGGGGTAGCCCCCGAGCAGTCCCCTGATGCTTGATGGGATCTAAGTGTAAATTCAAAAAAAAGATAAAACCACCTCTGCTCCCAACCAGCGGGCCAACAGCTGACAGGAAAAGCCTCTCCTCTGTCCTTGTGGTCAGAAGATGAGGAAGGAGACATAGAAAGGGACAAGGCCAGCAGGGCTGGGAAAGCCAATTCTGGGAGAAGAGGTGTAAGCTTGAGGTAGTTATAAGGATCACCCATCCTCTACCTCAGGCCCCTGGGGGTGGGAGAGGACGTAACTAGATGGATGTCGGGCACATGCAGTCTGCGAGGGAGGGGTGTCAGCCATGTGAGGGTTTGACCCAGAAACTGTACAGGTATTCACGGGGGCACACATGTTAGAATTGCACCTGTGTGTCTATGGCACACGTGTGTGTCCATGTGAGTGGCCCTGAAGTGTGTATGTTTGTTCACACGCATGTCGGCCTGTGTCTGTGTCTCTGTGTGTGATGCACACAGGTGCTCACTCCTGTGAACCCCTAGTTCACAAGCCTTGTTCTCCCAAGCTTGGCAATCTTTGCCACAATGCCAGGCAGGCCCAGATACCACAGGAGATTTGTGGGGTTCCTGGTCACTGCAGGCTCTCGATTTTCCCCAGGAACAAAAGCAGTTATGCAAGAGGAAGAGGAAGGCTTAGAGGATTAGCTCAGGCTCAGGCCCTCCCAGCTCGGTCGTGGGTGGAAGCTCCTCACGGTGGGCGTGTGCCCAAGGCCAAAGCCCCACCTCCTGGGGTCCTCAGACCCTCTGCTGCATGTGGGCGCCGACTCCTCCACAGTCACCCTTCTGCCCTCCATCAGTCTCTGTACAATAGCCAAGCACTTTACATTTTCCACCCCCATGTCCTAGCTGGATGGTTGCTGACCACGAACTGGCCAGGCTGACCTTAGGACCCTGCCTCCAGGGTCCCCTCCTCCTAGGCAACCACTCCCAGCTGGGTCTCAGGGCCCCCCTTCCTCACCCTGGGCTGGGCTCACAGGGCAGCTCCGGCTACTCTACTGGGGAAGTCTCCCCACTTTCTGAACCTGGGTTTCTCCAGCTGTCTGATAAAACTCTGCCCACATGAGTGGACCACTGAGAAGGCCTGGGATGAGCCCCTGGCCAGCAGGAACAGTGTCCTGCCCATCCCAGCCACCCAAGGCTACTGCTCACTGGCGCGTTGCAGCTCCCCGGAGCCAGGAGGGAAACACAGCCCTCAGTTCTCTGTCTGAAACAGGAGACCACCTGGCCTCAGGCTAAGGGGGTAGACCTGGTCCCTCTGGGATCACCAAGGGACTGGACCCTACTTGAGGCTTGCTGGCAGCATGCCTGGTGGTCTCCTCAGATGGGGGAGGCTAGTCCCTCTTGCTGCACCTCAGCTTTCCTTCTCTGCAACCTGGGCACCTCATTCTGTCCCGCGTTGGGGGTCTGCTGTTACCCATCATAGGACAGGACAGAGGGGCCACAGGGAACCGGCAGAGGAGGAAGGAGCACGTGCTTGCGGGTGCGGTCTGTCACTGGTGCACACCTAGCACACCCGGACCCCAACACAGCTCCATACAACACACACAGGTCCACACACACGCATATGCCCAGGCACCTGGCACACTCTGGGGCACACCACCCCGAATCCTGCACACATGCAGCTGCATAAATGTGCACTCACACGCAGCCCAGCATATGCAGGGCTACTGCTCGGTTCCACAGCCCGTTTCATACAAAGACCTTTCAGAACCAGGAAAGAGGTGGAGGGGGAAGAGCTGAGTCCTTGGATGCCCAGGCCCTTCTTTGGCTTCCTCCCAGAGAGGCTGAGGGGTTCCCAGGGACACAAGATGGTTTCTCTGGCCCATCCTCTCCAGCCATCCCGCATAAGCCCTGCCCAGAATGCTCAGAGAAAGCAGACAAAGGTCCTTTCAGGAGTGTAGTCCTCCATCTGCCCAGCCCTGTGTGTTACCAGCTCAAGGTGAGGCCTTGGACTAATTAATCACTTTGGATTTGGGACCTTAAAGAGCAGAATGTGAGAAAGAGGAGTTGTGGAAGGGACAGGGCCATTCCTGGGCAGAGAGAGCCCAGCTACCCCCTGGAGCCCTCGCTTCACCAAATTCGTGATTCATTCACTCATTCAATCTATATTTATCGAGCTCTTCTGAGTGTCAGTGACTTAGTGGTGAAGAAGAGCATCTCAGTCCTTGTCTCAGACTCAGCTCGGAGTCCAGCTTCCTTGGAGCTTCCAGGATGGTGTGGGTGGGGTACCAGTCCCAGGCTCCTCTACCATGCTCTGGTTCTCCTCCATGGATTCCGGCCACAGCCCGATCTAAGTCTTCACAGCACAGACTGAAGTGTGAACTTTGCTCAGGAGCATTGGCATCATCTGAGAGCGTGTTAGAAATGCACCCTGAGGCCCTACCTTGACCTACTGAATCAGATCCCCAAGGGATCCAGGCATAACTTGAAATTTGAGAAACACTGATATAGAACATTCCATACAGATCCAGTCCTTCTCCCTGCAGGCCTTTCCAGGATGGCAAAGGCCCATTCGGGTAACAACTATTATGGGCAAACACACAGTGCTTATAACATCTCATTCAACCCTCATACAGCCCTATAAGTTACGTACTATTACTATCCCCATATTACAGATAGGGAAATGAGGGACCGAGCAGTTAGGCAACTTGCCCAAGTTTCACAGAGCTAGTGGTAGCAGAGCCAGGATCTGAACACAATGTTTTGGACCAATACACTGCCCCATTTAGCACATGTGTCTCCATGTCTGGGTAAGAGTCAGTGTGGTGAGATAGGCAATAAAAAAAAGTGAAAAACTCAAGGAGCCAGTGGACCTCCTCCTAAGAATCTAGGAAATATCAGATTTTACTCATGATTTACTTTAGAATTTAAAACTCTGTCCTTAAAGGGCTGGAGGCAGTGCAGACAATAGCCACATAGGCCACATGATCCTGTTAGAGGCAGGGCAGAAAAAAATGGTAGAGAAATCTAGACTAAGATGGTGACTGAGCTTCCTGGCAGCCAAAATGAAAAGGGAGGGAAGAATGGGACTGGCAGCGAGGACGCTGTGAGGATTCCTGAGCTGAGCCAAAGTCACAGGGATGGAGACAAGGGGACCATTGGAGAGATATTTGGGAGGCTGGTTCAATGTGCCTTGATCACCAAATGGAGGAAGAAGCCCAGAATGTACCCAAA